TTTCTCTTCATGAGAAACTTTATTATTTTGCATTTTGGCAGAAGTGTTCAGAGAAACATCAAAATCGGTAGCGGCTTCCGTGTGCAATGAAAACTTCATCACAGTTATATATTCTCAGGTTAGAATGTCCCCTTTCTTACTTAGACAAATTGCAACCTTGTATCAACTATTTTCTTAAAGAAAATTTTTTCTCATAATATAAAAAATAATATATTAACGCTGTATATAAACTCATTTGGAATTTTAATTATTCCAACGTTTCGAAACTTTAAGTGTATAAAGAAAATTATTACGAACAAACACAATAACATGATTTTTTATTCTTATATATATATTATTGTTCTTATATGAATAAATGTCTATAAGATGAATCTGTCATCTTCACATAGATATATATAAGAAAAAAAACCCATGTTATTGTGTTTATTCATAATAATTTTATTTGTACACTATTTTATCTTATATGCCTTGACAATGAACATAAAATTTTCCGAACGCTCGAATAACTAAAGTTTCAAATGAGTTTATATACATCTTCTGTTAATATATTACTTTTACTTCGTTTATTACCCTCCAAAACTAACAATGCTCTTATAACATACTTGCAGCAGAAGTTCGAGATCAGAGTGAACAATATGTGAATACGTCTGATGTCCTATTACATCGAAAATAAAACAGAGTAAATGTACTTTTGATCACTAAATTTTCCAGCATGCATCTCACCTTATTATTTCTTCTTTTGTTTTATTTCTCGTTCGAATGGCGAAAATCGCGAGTCTTTAGCTTCCGATACTCGCTGTACCATATCCGCTGTTGTTGTCTGTTCGATCGAATTGCTTTATTTTATTCACTCCTCTATGTCATATTTTATAATTCTATAAAATTTAAATTATTTTGCAACATATCCTATTCGTCTTATCTCTCTCCTTATGGTCCTAAAAATCAGGACGAACAAGTTTTAGTAGTCGTTGTAGTCTTCTTTGAACAGAAGTGAAATAAAGAGCAGTATACAAAATATACTTTGTATCTTACACACATGGCGCAGAGTCAAGAACTTGGACTCACAATCCCATTAAAGCATAACTAATTCTACAGTTTCTTTCTCATCTTTTTTTATGCGTAGTGCTTTATGATTTGATTTTCGAAAAAATAGTTTATTTTAATTAAAAATCGTTTTGACGCTTTTCATAACATGAGACTACCTGTTGAGGCAATTGGCTATTCGTTCCCATTTCCTAGAGATGTACATTTCTCCCGCTGAACGCATAAGAAATAAAACGAAGAGGAAACCTATAGCCTACATGTGTATATATATTATTAGCCTTTATGTAGGCAGTCCATCAATATTCTTCATCTTTCATCACCACAACAAAAATATAACAACCATTATCGTGTCTTTGCAATCTGTATTTGAGAGTTGTCAACGTCCTCGCATCACATAGATATTCATTGAATAAAAAATCTTCCTTGTATTCGGTCAAGATATTCTATAACTAAAACTTCTACAATCAAGCGCTACTTTCTATTAGTTTCAAGTTGACGATAGTGACTAGTTGTTGAAATTTTAGTTGTAAAATATCTTGACCCTTTTATTCACTCACTATTACTACTACTCGTCTCATCCAGCCCCTATTTTACGCCATAATTGGTACTCTGTTTATGAAACTGAATAAGCAGAAAGCTTGAAGAATTACTTCAGAAACTCAACGCTTGTGATTAGTGTAAATTTCTCCTTTTAACGTATAACACGGATGATTTCTGTTTAGTAAAATGTACCGGTCTGAAGAGAGAAAAAACAACGCGTCGGAACGCATTTGGTTATAAATACATTCCAGGTGCGTTTCGATGCATTAGATATTCCATTCTGGACGTGTTCAAACGCATTTTTCAGCGACGCTAAACGTGTTTGAGACATACAAAATTTTTATATGGAATGCTCTTTAGAAGCAATTGACGGATATACAAGTTTTAGCATTTGTGGTAAAAAGCGCCAAACAAACTAGAAATACGAGCTAAAATGTCAGTGATGAACCGCAAGTTATCTAAGGATGTCTTGGTGATCAGCCTGTAAACATGCAAAGTTGGCATAGGTAATCGTTTGTACGTTCATGTCAAGCATCTTCTAAAAGAATTATTTATAGGAAAAATCTTACCGAAATTTTATAAGAATTTTATCATCATAGTACGCATATCGGATCTCTGTTATATATAATTTTTTCGTAAGATTTCTACAAGAATCATATCTGATTTCCGTATTTTCGGTGGACTAGGATATCTGATATTATTTCTAATTTAAGCATATTTTGACAAATAGAATGCTTTGAAGGTGACCTGAGCAATTTTTATATGATTTAGCCTATTTTCGAGTTACGCGTATTCTCATTTCTCCCACACAGATAATAAATTATTTTTTTACTGAAAAAAGGAGAATCAAATTTATAAAATTTTCGTTGTACTTTTTTCTCTAAATCTTTCTTTACATGCGGTATGAATACCCACTGTGAGAGAGTTGCAATAATTAAAAATATGGAAAAGAGACATGTAAAATACTACTTCTTACAATGTAACGAATAACTATTTTAAGATGCTTTAACAGGATGATGTCACGAAAGTACAGTATAAACTAGTTTATCTTAGACACGATCAGTATAAGAATTCTTATTGTCATTTAGTATTATATACATGAAACTATCAAGGTAGCTCGACCAAGCAGTTTGAGCTTTACAAGTCTTCGGTTGAGTCGCAAAACATTTTTTCTATATACAGATTATAGTAAATATTGTTGTACAGACGAGGATCACGTACAACGACGGCATTACATAAAGATGTCAGTCATCACACTGAGAATTTTGTACGTGTAGTAATACGGATATTATCTTTTCTTTGAGATTGATATGAGAGTAAATTGTTATCCAATTACACGTGTTTCAAATAAACTAAATTCGATTGTGTACTGTTTTCAACTTGTATGGCTTTTTTGACTTGTTAATGTCTGAACATTGTTTACATTTGTTTTACTGATGAATGAGTGTGGATATTTATTTATAAAGTTTTTGAATATTTTTATTGTCTTTTTGCTACTGTATGAACGAAACCTTGAATTTTCAATTTTGAAAATTTTCATCGTATATATACATCGTATTCTTTTGAATGAAGAATCATATCATCATTGATTTCTTTTCCTTTTCCTTTATTCATTGTTATATATTCATTGGTAAACAAAACTTGTTTCAATTGAATGCTTTACTCAGTATATAGTCTCTCTCGTTCTTTGTATATCAGCGGTAGGTCCTCACATGTGCTAATTTTTCATGCAGAATTAACGAGAGGATTTTTGTTTGACAATATGTAAATTATTAAGTAAACGAAAAATAGAAACAAAAGAGAGACAAATCTTTCGATGATCAAGTGTTCAAATGTGGCGGTAACAATGATCTTTTACAGAAGGCTTCTCTTAGTGATAATTTTTAGTAACAGAAAAACCTAGCATATGATTAATACAAATGGATAAAACTGTTTGTCTTTCTCGTTTTTGCTACTTTTAACCATGGAACTATGCTGATCAGTAATGACCCATCCTATTTGTTTTCTTTTATTATTTTTTACAAGCTGTAAACTCTCCAAAAATTTTCTTTGCATCTAGAAATAATCTCCAATTCAATTTTCAGTAAATTTGTAATCTAAATTTGATAACATTTGTATTTGAGTTCAAAATAGAATTGGAAAAAATAGTTTTTTCCATCAAGATATAAAATAAATTTTTTTTCATGCCACAGGTTTATGTTTTATTAATCAAATTAAATTTATTTCGTCTTTATTTCCTATTTTAAACTATTGATATTTCTCCACTTTCTTTTTTCGTTTGTTGAGAGATTCGAACTACTCTTTTTTGAGCGACCGCTAATCGTGTGTTAGTTCTATAATCTTTTACTAATTCCTTCATCTATATTTGAAGTGAGAAAGTTAACACAGTTTTCAAAGGCCATATGAATGAATACTGATCATAGTTTTGTTTTATTCAATGATATACATACTAACCTGATTAAAACTAAAGTAAAATAGATAAAAGGGAACATTTTACATATCGACGACAGAGTATAGTTTCTCTGAAAATTTTTAGAAGGAATATATCTCGATCAATCGAACATCACTTTTTTGAGCTACAAATTCTACCAGCTTGTATTTTCATCATGAGATCATCGAAACTATTTCAAAATAGGAAACAACTCACAGAATATAAACAGTTCCAAAACATAAAACGCGTAATTTCTCGGATTTTCTCTATTAAATAAACTCATTTTATTATATATAATATTTTCGAAGACATATTTAATTAAAAAAAATTGATGATAAAATTTCTATAGCTATCAGATTATCTTTCTTGGATTTAATCAAGAGAAAGATAATGAACACAATTTTGGCTTACCATTTCATTATTGCTTTCCGTTTTTGCAGTTTTTAATTATGTTTTTCCTGTGAAAAAAACATCCATTCCGATTTAATTCCGGCTTTTTTCTGTTCTTTTCTTATCTGGAGCGCAATTTTTTTTCTTTTTTTGCTGCGTTCTTTTACTTTTGACAAAGTCCATTCGTTAATAAAGTGACCAATGAACAAAGGGAGTTTCATTTATCATTTTATGTTTTAGTTGCAACTTGATTTGACAGTTTGTTTCTGTTTTATTTAAGAAAGAGTATACCTATAAAGCTCAAAAAGAGATTTTTTGAGTCACGTATGCCCATGAAAAGGTTTGAGAAGCAAGAAACTACGAGCATATTCAAACACAAAATGACTTTTGATCTAATGAAGCTTAACTCATGAGAAACAAGTACTAAACAATTGGAAAACTGGTTCCAGTTAGTACTTTTTATGACTGGTAACTGTCTATAGCGAACACAGCTAGTAAGTAAGAAATATAAAGTCAATGTGCGAAGGAGAGGAGAAAAGATAGAGGAAAAGAGAAGAGAGAAAAATAAATGGAATATATACTTAAAATAGTCGGTATGTGTATGTGCACGTACGTAATGTTATTTTTTGATTGTGTATAAATTTAATAAAAAGGTCAATATTTGAAAGTTAGATACATATATGTCTCATCGTAAGTGAGGTGTTATTGTGGTCCTCTAAAAAATTCTATTTTAAAGTTAATAAATTAGTCTGACTGAAAAAGCAAAAGAGATGATTCTTTTCTTGAAACATCACTTACTCTAAGTATGCTTCTTAATGAGGAGATCCAAAAAGATTTGTCAGATAAATTGAACCAATTAATACAGTGGATTGAATGACGTGCGTGTGTCAAATTATGATGTTAAATAGACTAGAAAGAGACGTACGTTTGTAAAACTAACAATGTTAATTTTTTTCTTATTTTGTTCTTTTGAACATCAAGCGCGTATTGAAAAAAGAGTTATTAAAACAGTTATTATTTTAAGTGATGAGAAAAGAAGAAGAGAAAAAAAAGTCGAATCAACCACATGTATTAAACAGTTTTTTTTAATCTCTTTGTTATTCGTGCTCAAATAATTTTTCTTTTTTTCTTCCTCGATTAAATAACAACGTATAGTTTGCTCGGAGGGGAAAAAGGTTTTCTAATACAAAATAAGCACGCCCCATTTACGCAAATGAACGTGACAGGTAAAAAGGAAATAATGTGTTGTTTTCTATGTGTGTAAGTGAGTGTGTACGATGTGAAATCAATATGATTGAAAGATAATATATACAACGAATGAGTTATGAGAGGGGGGATAGTTTAAAAAAATTATTACTAGTCCTATTTTTTCTTATTTCGTTTTTCGTTTAATGAAACAAAATGCAATCAAAAATAACTGAATGATTGGTAGTTTGTATGCTAGAATTCAATAATGGTAATATTTATCTTCATTATTCTTTTCTAAAATCCTGACAAGAATGACCTCGGTTTTGTTCTAGGTTAAAAAATTTTTCTGTACTCTATTAAGTGTCCAGACCTCGTTTAATATGAAAGAGTTTCCTTTTGTTTTATAACCGTTACTTCTTACTTACAGAAGAGTACAAGTATTGGAAGCCTAGACGGGTTCTTACAACACGCACAGACCCTGAGACTGTCTTTCTGTAACTTTCTCTCAATAAAGTTAAGCATAAATACATTGAACGCCATTAGTTGAGAGAAACGTCAGACATTAAAAATTAAAATTTTGTCTTTATCAAGTTATTTGTTTTCTTTACTTCTTTACACAGTATGAGTTTGACAATTTTTATTTAAAAATCACACAATAAGAAAAATTCACATTTTTTAACTATAAATGATGATCATGTCGTATAGTGAGAATAAATTTTAAATACATTTTAATTTTTATCACTCTTAGTGGTCGCCAATTTAACGTCTATTTGAGAATGATCATCAACATTTTAAAAAATGTGGTGTCAAATTATGGTAAATGTTGATCATTACCAAAGAAAAGAGATAGATTAAATTTATTACTCTAGCAGACGTTTTAAAAGTTTATTTGTCTATTCTAGGATCGAAGCCATGAAAGAAAAATCAAAAAATGCTGCCCGAAGTCGACGAGAAAAAGAGAATGCCGAATTTTATGAATTAGCCAAATTATTACCATTACCACATGCCATTACAGATCAATTAGATAAAGCATCAGTGATTCGATTAACAACAAGTTATTTAAAAATGAGAGCGATCATTCCCGAAGGTAAAAGTCTATCACTTTCTATCTTAGTATTTATACTTAAACTATCTCAGCATTCCAATTTAAAAATATTTCTTCATTAGTATATAGAGATGCAAGGATCCCTGTTTGACCTGTTGCTTCTCTTAGATTTGGAAAACATTTGCCTTCGGAAAATGTGAGATGAATACTTAATTAGAGAAGCGAGAAAATATTAGAATTTTTGAGTTTCATTATTGGAACATCAAATTATAGTGTCAAAACAAGGACTACCCATATCTTCAAAGCTATAAGATACACCGAAGCTTCATGATTGAGACCACGTTTTCTTAATGCTTATTAATTAAATTTCGAAAGTGGTCTCAAGTTGGAATACAGAGTTTGGTCTTTTCCTAGACTTAGCACACTGTTTATAATTTCGCATCATTCTCTAATTTGGGATCACTCACTATTGTAGACACCGAAACTGATTGACGTATTTCTGACAGAGAAAAAAAGAAACGAACTGTGAATAATGCTCTCTGGCTAATTGAGCAATGAAAAATTATCTGAATGAAAGTTTGAATTTAGAAGTTTATCAAACCATATTATGATCATTCAATTATCATTCTATAGATGTATTAGATAATGATTGTAACGTAAGAGGGAATGATGAGTATGAACCTAAAATATGACAATTTTGTTTGTTGTACTTCTTTATGTTATAACATTTTTGTAAATTATAAACAGTGTACACACAGTCTAGGAAAAGAAGAAACTCTGTATTTCAAATTGAGACTACTTATTTAATCTAATTAATAATCATTAAAAAAAAAAAAGTGCTCTCAATCATGAACGAGCCAGTGGCACTTTTTTGATGGTGAATAAGAGAAGATGAGTTATGCACTTGAAAAAATGAAAAAGATAGTAATAATATTATCAAATCAGAAATTTCACACAATATTGACAATTTCGTGTTTCATACTTCATCAGTGTCAAAACATGAATATAATATAGGTATCAAGTTAGAAACACCTTTGAAGTAGTTGTATGATAAGATAATTTTGTTATATATGCCATTTAATCTAATTGACCATATCTAAATGTACATTCCAATCAATGTATATGTGAATAAGAAAGAAATACATTAATGAACGATAGCACATTATAGTGTGTGGTAAATATCATGGATGGAATGATACTATAGAGGAATAAGAAGAAAATAACCTAACACTTGATTGCTTATCAAAAACTAAACTAATAATAAAAAAGCTATTGAGTACATGATGTGCACATCTATTTACAGTTAAAGATACACATATTCAAGTTTACTGATAAATAAATACAGTTACGAATCACGTACAACTTAAATTAATCTTGAAATCTTAAAATGATTGAATACTTGCGTATCAGTTTCATTCGGCGATTTCCGTAATATCAGTAGGAGTGTGTCTGAGCAATCATAGTGCTAAAATAACGATACCACTCATCTTACTTTCTAAGAGTATTCATAATAATTGTCAGACAAAACAAACATTTAATTTCAAGCAGATTATATTGATAAAAATACTTGTTCGTCCTTTACTTGAACAATAGCAAAAAGATTATCCAAATCTGTCTTTAGTACACAAATTTCTCTGTTAGAACAAACCCTCTGTAAATATAAGAACGAAGATTTTTTGACGAAAAGTAAAGAGAGAATTTTGACGAAGAGCAAAGGCAATAACTAACTATAAAATTTAGTTACGGAACTAGGGTATTATCAGCGATCATTGTCTTATCTATTCTAAATAACGGTTTATCAAGAAGTGATGCCTACATGAATCATGTACTAGTCATCTTTGCAACCGGGAACAATCGATATAGGAGGAAAGAAGGATTTTTATTAGCGGACAAAGTTTAATTAAAGATCTTTAGATAAAAAATTGGCGTAGTTTTACGAATTAAGCTGTTTGAAAATAGCTTAAGACTTTTAAATGACGTATTTGGTAATTTTTTAGAAATTCAGATTAGAACTATGAAAAATAGTTTGTTCCTTTGATGAAAGAAGGACAGATGTTGACGATTTTTAAGAAAAACATAAAATTTAATTTTCACATTTCTATAAGACATTGCGCAATCTTTAGTACAACTATCTTGATTTCAATAACATTTTGATGATATCGTTGAATAATAAATGGAATGTTTGCTGGCAGAAAGGCAAATACTCACGTTAAAAAACAATGATTCGATGGAACGGTCGTATAAAACTCGGCCGTCCCTCATTTTATAGAAAAAATTGTCTTCTATCTTTAGAAGCGAACTTTCTAATGTTTTCTGGTCTATAACTTTATTCTTTAGAAACGGTTCTTGGAAACCTTTTCTAAAAAGACTATCAAAATGTTGATTATCAGCAGTAAAAACGGTCTTGTTTTTTATACACGTTGGTGTGATACGCCTACAAAAGTTATTCTCAGCTAATCAATATTTAAATTTCAAGCTTTTTCTTAAAAAAACGTTAACATCTGTTCTTCTTACACCAAGGAACAAACTAGTTTTCAAAGTTCTGATCGGAATTTCTAAAAAAATTATCAAATATGTCATTTAGAAGTCTTAAGCTATTTTCAAGCAACTTAATCCGTAAAACTCCGCCAATTTTTTGATATAACTGTCTTTAACCATTTTTATTTGTAAACATTTATTGCGATCTTCTATTGTATATAAAACTGTCAGGAATTATTTATAGCTGGTGTTCATTTGTATTTCATTATTTTTTATCTCTTCTCCGATAATACGACATCTAACGATGCCAATTTCACTAAACAATAGACAATTAAATGTAATATTGTCAAATTTTTTCTATTCATTTTGTCATGCCTCGTTCAACTCTCGAATACTCTCTCTCTCTCTTTCTATTTCATTCTTTTTTTTTGATTCGTTAAAGTCAATTTTACTCTCGTTTAACTTGGGAAAATCGGGTTGTCTTCATCTAAAAGAAAAGAAAAAAAAAATCTTCCACTTATACGTGATATATTTGTTTTACATGATGTAGACTATGGAAGAATTTCATATGATTCCGTCTTAGAACTCGTAACAGAGTTTTATTAAAAAAAGAAAATTAAGTTGAGACAGGCGTATACACTTGACATTATGCCAATAGCAGTATTTTTCTGTGAAAAACGTTCTTAAAGTTCACAAATATTCTCTCATATACAAAGAAATATATTCAGTGAAACCAGTATGATTTCAGATATCAGAAATTGAATGTTTTAGAGAAATATGTACTTATTCATGCATAGCAGAACGTTAAACTCGTTCATTTTCATTGAACTGCATGCTATCAGTTAAATGTTTTACGTGCTGTTTAAAAATCCTCTGATTTGTAGATGTTTTAATTAAAGAAAAATACAGTGAACAGTCTAATAGCGAGTATATTATATTTCTTTTTCAAGTTTATCTGTACATAATACGATCCGTTTATTATTATTTTAGTACAAACTTTGTTCTTTGTCTTTTCACAGAAATCAATACACATCTCCTTTTCATATTTTATTGATTATAGTTGGTCACAAAAGAAGAATGTTTCATATAAATTTGGTAAACAAATTTTACTTAGAAATTCGATATTGATCTAGATTAAACAGGATATTCGTATTTCATTTTTGGATTCAAAATTCCTTCAAGCAAACTGAAACATCCGGTATAGAGAGAGAAAGAGAAAGAAAGAGAGGAAGGAGAATAGGTTTTTCCCATCGTATAGCTATTTTTCTTTATAACAGTATCAATAGAATGCGTTTTCTTCAAATTTATCTTGATAGATTATTTATTGGTTTCAGACAAAGATTTACGTTAATAATTTTCGAATATTCTATGTTCATATAGACAAACACACACCTGTCTAACTCAGTTTGGATTTAATTAAATCTTTATTCATCATCATCTTGATCATAAAAAACAAAAACAAAAAAGAAAGAAGGTTAGAAATAATATTCACACGTACATGATGAGCTGTAACAACTCTCATTCATCAAACGTAACCCTCTAAACAAAATTGGCTTGTTTATTAGAGAAAGAGAGAAAACGGATGAACATATACAATGTAAAGAGAAAAGAGAAAAGTAAAAATTTACCGCTATTTGTTCTATTGTCAAATTACTTTCTTTTAATTTTGATTGAAATGTTAATCAATTGTCTTCCATGTTTTTACTTGATCCTATAAAGTAAGACTGTCTTTTTGCTAGATCGTATAATCTACCTGTCATTTAGATCATGTTGCAAAGATGATATTCGGGTTTTCAATCGTTTTACAGACTCTTGTAGTTCCATACAATTAGAAAATTATTTTTTGAGCTACATAGTTGTTCTACAAAAAATAAATTTCAGTGCAGTACTACCAGCGCGCATCCGTATACAACTAATATCGATAAAAATTTGTTTTGTGGGATGGTTAGTCTTAGGTTATTTACCAGTCTGAGAGTAAAGACAAGAGAATACAACGGTTGAATTCAACAGAAATCAACGTCGCACAAGGATTCCATGTTTACTAGACAGACGTACTCTGATGGAAAAATATATTATAGAATGAGAAGCTGCATATATATGTATATATAATTTTTTTCTTAGGACTTGGAGGTGCTTGGGGAAGCCGATCTAGTACTCAAACATATATTGAGCAAGAAGTCAATTCCCAATTAACACAGGTATTTTAATAGCTTACAAAACTTATTTGATCACTTTTAACATCTAAAATTGTTTCAATTAAAGATTCTGGATGGATTTTTATTTGTCGTTGGTCCAGATGGAAAAATTATGTACATATCAGAAACGGCATCCACTCATTTAGGCCTATCTCAGGTATGTTGTTGTTGACATAGTCTCTGTTAATATCTTCTTTAATATATTTTCTTTAAAGGTTGAATTGACGGGGAACAGTATTTATGAATATATCCATCCAATTGATCATGAAGAAATGGCAACAGTATTAACAGCATCATTACCATCATATGCTTATAGTAGTTTTCAAGAAGGTAAGATTATGAGTTGTAGTTTTTGTTCATATTACTATATTTATCTCTGTAATTTTAAGAATATGAAATGGAACGTTCATTTTTTCTTCGTATGAAATGTGTTTTGGCTAAACGTAATGCAGGTTTAACATCAAGTGGTTACAAAGTTATTCATTGTAGCGGCTATCTAAAAGTAAAACAATTTAGTTTGGATCTGACATGTTACGATAGATGTTATCAAAATGTTGGACTAGTTGCATATGGTTATTCGTTACCGAGTTGTTCAATTACCGAAATTAAATTATATTCAAACATGTTCATGTTTCGAGCTAGTCAAGATTTAAAACTAATGTTTCTCGATTCCAGGTAATGTAATGATTTTCTTTTCAAAAAAAATTATTTTTTTTTGCATTGTATTATTATTCCATTGTTAGCTAATGGTTTATAATATTATTGTTTAGAGTTTCATATATAACCGGTTATGAACCAAATGATTTAGTTGACAAAACACTTTATCATTATGTTCATACAAATGATTTAATGGCACTTCGATGGGCACACCAGATTTGTAAGCAAAATGTATTCAATAATGAAATTAAAAATTCTTACATTCATTTTTTTTAATTTAAGTGCTTAGCAAAGGACAAGCGACAACATGCTATTATAGATTCTTAGCGAAAGACGGTGGTTGGATATGGTGTAAGTTACAAGTATCTCTATTAAAATTTTCAATATAAAAAAATAATTTTTCTTTTATTATTTTTAGTACAAAGTTACGCAACACTAGTCCATAACAGTCGATCATCTCGACCCAATTGTATCGTTAGTGTTAATCATGCTCTAAGGTAGAACGATAACCTATCTTAGTCTAGTTCCTATATAACAATTTCATCTGTTTTAGTGGCATCGAAGCTAAATATTTACATCTTTCAATCGATCAAGTTGAAAAACGTTCTAACGTTGCCTATCCATCACCAATGAATAGTGGTGTTGAAAAATTAAATAATACAAATTCATCTAATCGAACATTAAAAATAAAATCTCGACCAAAACAACGTAAATCACCTTATCAATCAACATCGCCAAATACATCATCAACAACCACAGTACCATTGACGGTAACAACAGGAATACAACAACTACATGGTGTCAGTTTATTGCCAGATGATAGAAGCTCATCCTCAGCCGATGGTTGCAATTCGATTGCCGATTGTTACAATGATGAACTCTTTTTTGCTCCTTCTTCATCGTCTTATCCATATGCATTATATAATGCAGCTGCGGTAGCATTAGATAATCGTTTACGAGTTGAAGCTTCTGCTACACCTTATCTATACAACTATACGAATAACGATAAATGTGCGGTGACAGCAGTTCTGACTCCGTCTGAAAAAACTAAATTGAACTGTTACAATGAAACTCAAGACAGTTATGATACATCTCATCGTTTATGGGTAGATTCATCTAACAGCAATAATTATCCTGCATTTAATGATGAATCAACCGTAAATCTTGTACCGTCAACACCAAAGTCATCAACTTCCACAACGCGTAAAAAATCAATTAAAATTAAACAATCTCCAGATCATTATGATATAACAACGTCAACAGCCAGTCGACTTCGATCAATTAATACATGTAATTCAGATGTTGTTTCGCCGTATTGTACAAATAATAATAATAATAATAATAATAACGCGACAGCAATATCACCGAAAAAAGTTCATTTAAAACTATCCCAACGTGAATGCACAAAATCATCATCCACTCAACCATCATACATAACAGAAATACACTATCAAAATACAAATAATCATCATAAAATATCTAAACTTAACAGTGAAGTTAACTTAACAACAACGTCATCTTTATCATCTTCTACGTCACCAACTAACGGTGGTCTATACCAGAATTGTTATAAATTGGATAATTCTTATTCTGATCAATTACAAAATTCAAGGAGGTACCACAATTATGATCAACCGATTGGTTATCATCATACGTCTGTTATTGTCGATAGTCAACAGTATTTTATGAATGGATATGGAACAGCGTTTTGATATTATCATGTAAAAAACAAAACAAAAAAATAGGGCATTATGTCACAATACATCCTTCTCTATTACCGGATAAAGTATTTTTATTTATAGATTTAGATTATTCAATTTTATAAATTGAAATTTGTAAAAAGTATGTGTTTGAGTATTTCCGATAGTTATTGGCTTTTTTTTATTTTCACAATGCTTTTGTTTTTGTGTATACATTAGTGTGTATGTATGTGCTTCATTCATTAAGTAAGCAGCAATAAAATCCATCGTAACTTTAAAAGTTATATTCAATTGTGGAGTATTTTGAGAATATTAATATAGTGAAATGATACATTTCATTTATTAAATAAATAAAAAATTTTGTCAAAAACTTTTCTGAATGAGATTGCGTTAGCGACTCGAATGTACTTCACTCCTAACAACTCCCTTCTCTCTCTCAAAATCAGAAGATTCAACAATTTTGCTACGTTCAGGCTGCAAGAATAAAATGCTGGATTCAGTCCCGATTCGTCGACACCAGAGACCGTCGTAGGACAGGACTGCTCTGTTGCTCTGTTGTCCTGTCGCCTTGCTCTGTCCTGTCCTGTCCTGTCGGATAGGGCGAAAAAAGTTGCCCTGCGATGGTCTCTGGTCGACGCGCTAATTAATTTTCCTGATTCGTCGACACTTTATAATGTCGGCGGCTTACAGACATCTTTCATTTTCCCACCCAAAATGTTGTCGACAAGTCAGGAAAAAAATTAATGTGTCGACGAATCGGGAAGATACCAAACGTTGCTGTATTTACCCTATTGGTGCATTATATTATTAGATCGAAAATGAATCAATATGATCTATTGATTAGTACTTTTTAAGAGAAGAAAGATCTAAAAGCATGTAGTCAAAATAAAATAGAATTTCTTCCTATTTATCAATACTAATGTTCCTTTCAATCGTCTCGAAAATTATGTACCAAGGGGACGACTAGAGAACCACATCTCGTGTAACTTAGAGAGACAGTAAAGTGGTGCAAAGAGACGGTCAGAATAACCTTTGATCACATCGTCGTAAATTCAATATAACTATTGAATCTGAAGTCAATTTTTTTCTAAAAGTTCGTAGAGATATTTCAAATAATCGTATTCTTGCCATGGTGAGCATGAAATGTGATTACAACACATCGACACAAAATTTGCTCTACTAGTTTCTTACCAGCGTTTTCGATTAGGTGGGAGAAGGTGGGAAATTCCCCCACCTTGTTTGAAAAAAATTACTCCGAAAAGTTAAAAGCCTGTTTTTTTTTGGTTATCAGCTAAATTTTTAGAGTTCTCCCACCCCTGTCAAAGTTATATCGAAAACGCTGTCTTACTATATTTAAACGACTTTAAATTTAATAATGCATAATAAGAATCGACAAATTTATGCGCCACGTCAGCTAGTGTATCATGTCTTGTTGTTCAAATAACGTCATCTGTGCAACATAATTCTTTCCAAATGCATAACTGATGTTTTTGAAGGTGAAATACTACACGATCGCTCCATAACATTTTCCGATGTATTGTGGGCGACTACCATTTTTGAACGAAATGATACTACTCAATCGTGAACCAACACTACTGTACAATAATGAATTATACTTTGTGAGACCATGATTGAACCGACAATACAGTGTTATTATTTTAATACTTACTTGTTCAAGAAAGATAATTTTGAACTTTTCTTGAAAATTAATAATGTATGGGTGTTTCACGGACGTATCTACACATAACGAGTCGAAAGTCTTCTGTGAAATGAATAAATGATCTACTATTAATTGTTCTTCTTCATTCGAAGCTAAATCTCGGAGTAAATAGGATTTAAATAATTGTTGTGAAATCCCCTAGAGATCCAATCTTATAAACGGTTTGTATAAATCTTCTATAGAATTTCTCTAGGGATCTTATAAGATCCTTACAGCATTCTTACGAAAAAATTATATATGACAGAGACTCTAAATGTGTACGATGAGAATACATTTGTTTCTCATTCCATTCCTTTCGAAACTTAGAAACTGATCTGAAAAGTTAGATTGTCATTGACAGAATGTAACACAACAGCAAAAATAAAGGAAGGAACGCAGTCGAAGACTACTGGATTCCATTGAGATAAGCATAGAAAAGACGAGTAGAATAATTATAATAATAATAATAATAATATAATATAATAACGAAAGACAAAATTTTTGTCTGAACACACTAATTCAAACATAGTGCAACCCTTTTCAAGAAATAAACAATATATAAGTATTAAATCTAAAATAAGCAACGAAAATATAGGTGAGATAATTCCGAAGACGAATGGAAACATAGGTAATCAACCACGCTGAATCTCGTCTTGACCGAATACAAGGACGATTTTTTATTCAATGAATATCTATGTGATGCGAGTACGTGGACAACTCTCAAATACAGATTGCAAAGACACGATAATGGTTGTTATGTTTTTGTTGTGATGATGAAAGATGAAGAATACTGATGGACTACCTACATACAGGCTAATAATATATATACACATGTATATACCCCATAGATATTCATTGAATAAAAAATCGTCCTTGTATTCGGTCAAGATATTCTATAACTAAAACTTCTACAATCAAGCGCTACTTTCTATTAGTTTCAAATTAACGATAGTGACTAGTTGTTGAAATTTTAGTTGTAAAATATCTTGACCCTTTTATTCACTCACTATTACTACTACTCGTCTCATCTAGCCCCTATTTTACGGCATAATTGGTACTCTGTTTATGAAACTGAATAAGCAGAAAGCTTGAAGAATTACTTCAGAAACTCAACGCTTGTGATTAGTGCAAATTTCTCCTTTTAACATATAACACGGATGATTTCCGTTTAGTAAAACGTGCCGGTCTGAGGTTAGAAAAAGCAACGCGTTGGAACGCATCTGGTTATAAATGTGTTCTGGGTGGTGCGTTTGGATTCATTAGATGTTTCATTCTGGACGTGTTCAAACGGATATACAATTTTTAGCATTTGTGGTAAAAAGCGCCAAAACAAACTAGAAATACGAGCTAAAATACTAGTGATGAACCGCAAGTTATCTAAGGATGTCTTGTTGCTCATTCATAGGCTGTAAACATGCAAAATTGGCATAGATAATCGTTTATAAGTTCGTGTCAAGAATCTTCTAAAAGAATTTTTTATATGAAAAGTCTTACCGAAATTTTACAAGAATTTTATCATCATAGTACGCATATCGGATCTCTGTTATATATAATTTTTTCGTAAGATTTCTACAAGAATCATATCTGATTTCCGTATTTTTGGTCGGCTGCATCTTCTTGTGAGCTTTTTTAAAACTCCAAGAAATGGTTCGTCATCAATGCTTGGCATAAGCATAACTTGATGTCTAACGCAGGACATATAGATGACGCTATGTATATAACAGAGAAGTCCTCTCCTTGACAACATATTTGTTCATGATTACTAGTGTAGGACAGTATAGACGTAGAATGCTAGCTTCACTACCACTAACAACTAAGATGATCTGACGAGTAGTCCGCAATATCTAAAATTTTTTATTATGATCATAATTTCTACATTGAATAATGAAAATGCCCTCATTTTGGGAGCTCAGCTACATTTTGCTCTGTTTGTTTGACATGTTACAGTTGAGAATTGTAAATTATGGTCCATAATTAGAAAATCATAGACATACCAGACAGTGTTGGCAGGAAGATCGAATATTTATATGTAATATTTTAGGACTATTTTGATGGCTACGTCATTCGCAAGGCGGCGATCGTCGGATGGTAGTGTAGTGGCTGCGAGAGTCAATGCTACTATTGTAGCACAAGGACCACCTGTTGCATTTTTTGGCAATTGTGTTATTGATGATGTATTGTACGTACATGGTGGTGTTAAGACACGTGGTGATACCCATCCGTCAAATCAGTTATATATTTTTGAAAATAATACTTGGAACGATATCACAACTAGTTCTTCTCCTTCTCTATCTTATCATCGTTTAATTCCATACGGAAAAAAATATATCATATCCATTGGAGGATGGACTGGTCATGAACGAACGAGTGACATTTGTGTGTATGATATTGAAACTAAAAACTGGCATAAAGCTCATTCAACAGGGTTTCCCGAGGGGGGTGGACTCAATAATCACGCAATTATTTCACTGCGTGATGGTTCAATACTTGTCTCAGGACGAGATGGTGGATTGCGAACACAACGAAAACATGGAGATGTCTACAAATTAAGTGGTGATCCTGCAAAAGGTACATTTAGGTATTTCTCTGATAAACTTTTTAAAGATTTTTTTATTTTATTTGACTAAAATATTTTTCTAGATATGAAGATTATCCGATATCCGCGAGTTCAAGAAGTGGTCACACATTGACAGCTCACGGATCATCCTTATTCATCATCGGCGGACGAGCTGATCATTTTGTTGAAAGATATCCCGGTGTGAAAGCTGAGAATTTAAATAACTGTGATGATTTACACTCACAATTAAAAAGTATTTTGTCTGAAATGACACCAATGAAAAAACCACCAGCGTCTCGGAAAGATCATACATCGGTTTCATGCAAAGATTTTGCTCTTATCTATGGTGGTGAAACGTTCGATGGGCGTACGAGAGATCCTGTCGGTGATACTTTAGTACTTCATATGAGTGGCGGCGAAGAATGGTTCAATTTAGGTCCCATTGAATATGGAAGGCAAGGTCATTCTATATCATATATCAATGGTAGGCTAATTGTCCATGGAGGATTAGGCCCAAAAGCGTTAGCATGTTCTGAAACATTTAGTTTAGATTTTGTGTGATATTTTATATCGTTTTTTCATACATCTTATACTCAAGCTGATAAAGTGTTTTGTACATGGTAGATTTTCCGTCCAAATGTATAAAATTATTTTTGTTTCGCACTCAACTATTGCAATATATTTAATCCGTTGTCATTCCTCTTATTTGTATTTAATAAAATATCTTTTGTATTCGACGAATGTATCACACTTTTATTTTTTAATTAAGTCATATGAGTGTAGTTGACATCTTTTTAGAAATGTTTCAATATTTATTAAATGTTCCACAAGTGAGAAGAAAATAATAACGGTATAAAACGTATGAAAATAACTGTACACTATTGCATATAAAAAAATAACACAAGAGAAAATCATAGTTTATTAAAAGAGTTCACAAATTTAGATAAAAGAAAGACCGTGTATATTAATCGACAAAAAGTGCAAAAAAACAGTTTAAACATGCAGAAAAGAGAGAAACTAAATCCGGCTATTACAAGGAATTGTGGCAGATATCATATGTCTCTTAGCAGATGCTCTACAGAATGTTTTGGCTACAAGCAACTGGAAGAAAGATACAATATCTGATGAACATCAACTAAACGCAACAAACTCTCTTTCGTTGTACATGCAAAGTCAATGGATGTAGCAAATTCTATAACCTGCTATATGCTACACATATCAAACAAAAAAAAAAAAAAATTAATAACAATTTTAAATGTAAAAAAATATAACAAATTTTTTTCTTTGATAGCACGAATAAATAGCAATTTATAGATGAAAGCTCGATTTTTACAAAACACAATGAGCACGTATATTCATGTAATTACATCATCGGCAACTTTCAACTTTACATTTGCATTGCTTGTTCTACTCGATGCGGATGTTTGACTAAAAAATAACGTCGAGATTAATATGTAAACATAACACAGCAGCATTGTTCAAACCAGTGACTGGTCTTTTCTTCTCTAGACGTGCGATCTCTAAACTTTTCATATCGGACATAACATGTCAGAATTTTCGCCCTTGTTTATTTGTGTCATTTTGAGAAAAAGAACAATTGTAGAAGGATGTAAGGGAGATGATTGGAAAAGAGACTCTGAAAGAACGTTAAACTTGATTAAACTGAAAATCTGTTTTCAAATCGTTGGGCTGAAAAGTCTACTATGAAATATCCAATACAAAAAGATCGAAAAAATGGTTTACAATAAAAAAAAATCTAAGAAGTAAAATGTCTGAAAAAACTGTGCAAGTTTTTAACAGTCTAATAATAATTGTTAAATCTAAGTAAAAATATTCTATCGTCTGAAGCTCGAATTTTACTAATAAATTTTGTTCAGTCACTAGCAAAATTGAAATCACTACCGTCTTACCAGGACTTTACCTCCCACGAAAAGTAAGAAAATGATACAGATAATTGTCAAAACTTCATACTTTCTTTGAGCATTACGTTCACATTTTGGACATTTTGGATGTTTTGAGAAACATCGATGATGATAACAACACTGACATACTAAAAATAAACAATTTTGTAATAATCACATTGGATATTATTTAATATTTCTAATTTACATACCGGGACAGACGGATGTACGATCGAGTTCATATGGAAAGATTATATCTTTTGCATTTGAACATATTTCGCAAATGAAACCTTTAGCCGAACATAGACTACATGGATATATATGATTTTCCATGGCAGTGACGATTGGTTCAAGAACTTTCTGCAGATTGCCAGCTTTCGTCTAAATTGAAAAATAACATTTTGTTTTCAAACAGTATTTAATATATAGATATGTTCATACTTCGAATAGATCCTGCGTTGAATAAACATAAGGAGTTTCATACATGTAAGATTGTAGTGATTTCAATTTAGCTAGTGATCTGAAAAAAGATTGATAATAGTAATTTACTAGTAAAATTCAAATTTCAAACAGAGAGAATATTTGTACCAACTATTTTATTCAAATACTTGAAATTAGTACTATAAGTCTCTTCAACAACCTACCCGTCTTCATCAGCAAATCGACATGTTAATACATAATTTCGTATAAAATGTAATATCCATCGTTGATTATTCACCGATTGTAATTTTTTACTCTTTTTAATCAAAGATGGATTCAAACTTAAATTCAAGTTTGCTTCGGAATAAATTCGATTTAAATAATCGTAGGCAAAATTCGATACACTATGCTTTTGTGAAAAGTCCCATTTGTGTATAATATAAGAAGGTAAATAAGATTTTTTCTCTGAATGACAACTTTTACAAAAATATTTGCCTGTATATTCACAATAATTGAAACGACGTGCAAAACCTTTTAAAAAATAGACGATGTTGAATAAAAAATACAGCAAAATTTAAAAAATACTAACCTTTCTCTACATGTCGTCCGCAACCCGCACATAGATAACGTTGTTTTTTTAACTGTTCATCACGACTATAAAAAAACAGGAAGGTGTAAATATGTATTGAAAATAGAAAAGTAGTCATATTTTACTTTGGTGGTGGATGAATATTGAATATGAGTTGTTCACGAGGCGGTGCCCATTGAAGATTACCACGAATTTGTACCTTAAAAAACTTTAGATTAGATCATACAGTAATCTGAATAACAAAACAAGAATATAGATATTATTATTAGCTTAATCCAACAAGCAATCAAACAGATGAAGCAAAAAAAGAATAAATTTAGTTTACCCGATGACCACCTGCAATTATATAATCTTCAGATGGATCAACTGATATGTAATCTGGTAATGGTAGTAACTAAACGCATAACATAGACAAAGAGAAAAGAATAAACTTGTAAGTAACAATTAATGTGTGCAAAATACATGCAGTCAAGCAGAAAAGCGTTAATTTGTTTATTTTTGTAAATTTGATGTGCAGAATAAACAAAGTTTTTTCCTCCGAAAAACTCGAAATTTTATCTGTAAGATTTCTGAAAAGTATCTATTATTATCGACATTCATACTTATATAATTCTATCTCACTCTTTTCTTGATTCTCACTATTGTGTTGCCGAGTTTACATGTTTTACGATCTTACATCTTGCGGAAAATCTTCATCCGGTTTAATCATCCAGAATAATTCCGGTGCTGTTGGCATTCGATATTGTTTGTATGTGTCCATAAGAGCCAATGCTATATAGAAAAGTATTATGAGAAATATTTATTCTGATATATCTTCTATAGAAAATACCTATTGCTTCAGCTGATGTCTCGTCCAAACTGATCAAAATGATACAATGTTTAGAGTATTTTTACAAACGAATAACAAACTCACTTTGTTGAATTTGACCAATCAAACTCTTGTGGTGGCTCACCTAAAGTATAAAATATTTTGTAAATTTCTTTCATTATATATTGCATGTTTGTATAGCATACTTGTATCTGCATTCGATTCTACTTCCGAATTATTACCTGAACTCTGTTCAGAATTGAGCAATTGCTTAACTAGTAGAAAAATCCATCATTTATATTCTTTAAGTAAAAAAGAACAGAATACGAGTTTTTACTTGCTGGTGTCTCATTGTATAATGCCGCCTTAAATAGAGAAAACACAACATGTTATGTTGGTTCAATATTTGTTATTGTAAAGTTACTTTTTTCTGTGATTGTTGTATCAAATTTAAATTACATGGAATGTATGGTGATGAACTCTCAGTGGACGATGTTGAACTTTCATTATACGATAATGTTCCAATAAGAAGAGATGGATTTGTTGAATCAATTTGAAAACGTCTTTTACACTCTTTAGTAAATTTAATTTGTTCAATAGCAGCAATTAATGCTTCAGAAAAATAAAAATGAGCATTTTCCTAAAACATACACATTATATCAATGTATGAAAATAATTGATTATTTAAATAATTACTTTTTCAACATCTGTTCGTGTTTTAGAATCATTTTCTCGTATATAACTATCCAATGTTTGTCCTTTTTTAGGCCATCGAAGACACGAATTTGGAAAATATGGATCTAAATAAGAACATATGAACAGATTGATAGTTAAACTAGCATACACTATAGTTACACTGTAAATCTGTTCTTGAAAAAACATCGGAATTATTATAAGAAGATGATACAGATATACTATTTTCAACTGGTGATGATGAGAGAATTGGTGAATTGATGATTGATTGATTAATGTCTGATGTTGAATCGTATATATTATTATCGTTGTTAATATTAACTGTTAACGTTGTTTGACTAGATATTGATCCTCTATTGTTGTTAGTGTCAATTGTTGTCACTGGTTTTTTTGAACGTAATGATGTATCCGGTAATGTTTGATAATGATCAACTCCTCCAAAGTTTGTATTAATTATTGATGAATGATCGGTTTCTGTTGTTGTTATTGAATCAAAACTTGAACTATATGAATCAATATCTTGAGGTTGATAGAAAACAGCTGGAAACGAAGAAGCACTATTGGATTGATTATTAACAGAATGAATATGATTATTGGATGAATGTGAATTTGTATAATCATTCTTTTCATTTGAAAGTCGTGCTGCTGAATGACACCGTTCATTTGATTCATCTATAATCGATGATGATGGTCTCAAAATAGATTTTCTTTCATTTAGTTTATATATTGGATCACTGTGTATACGACGATGAGCTTTATTTTGTATACGTTTTGTAACTGATTCTAAACATAATACTTTGAATTAGGTTACTAATAACTATCTTATGATTAACAAACTTACGTAAATTACTATTAACATCAGTCGTACTTGAAATTGACATTTTTTCTTTGCTAGTTTCATGTTGAGGATAAATAAGTGTTTGAAGACCAGATACAGACTATAGATTGAAAAATTAGTAGTGGAAAATAAAATTTGTTGTAGACAACATACTAGTTTAGGATCAATGTCAGCTAACAAACTTGGCTCACTATTCTCGACAGTTCGAATGCATAATAAAAATGCTTTGAAAAATGTTGGAATAGATAAAAAAGCATGTTCTAAAATATAAATAGAGAAATAAATAGTTTTAGTTTTTGAATTCTAATTGTAAAAAAGGGGTACACATTGCTTCTCTATTGCAAAAGAAAAGAATAAAGGCGAAAAGTTCATTTTTTAAAGTATGGAATAAAGTATTTTACACTAGATAACTCTCATGTTGAACCCAAACATGTATAATACATAAAAGACAGAAGAATTTTTGTTATTATTTGAGCGTGATATAGTACAAAATTAGATCGCTCACTTAAAATAAAAATAACGGGTGGGCAAGAGGAAACGAGCCTTTTAGTATTTTCCTTTATCTCTTGATACTTCACTTCAGTCCTTAGAGTTCATTTTTTTTTAAAAGATGCGCTGTTCAATTCTATAGACGATCGTATGTAAAATAGTCTGATAAAGACCAATTTGACTCAATTTTGACTGACTTATAGTGATTTTACTAGATGGTGACAAACTGCATGTCCGAAAAAGGTAAAAAGTGGATTTGTGCCATTTCGTAAATCTTGTATCAAAAAGTCAAAACTAATGAATGACATAAAATTTTCCTATCAGTCTGTCGATAGAGTTTTTCAAGAGTTACATTGTAAACTACCTAGAATTTATTCAATCAGAAAGTCCGACTTCCTTTTTGAAAAAAAAAGACTTTTTCTTGTGTTAGAAAGGCTTCTGGACGACTGTTGCTTTTCTTCGATCAAAACTGAGACTTTGGTCTTTATCAGACTATTTAAATACGATCGTGTATAGAACTGAACAGTGCATCTTTTAAAAAAAAGAATGAACTCTATGGTACTGAAATATCAAGAGATAAAGGAAAAATACTTAAGGACTTATTTCCTCTGGCCCACCCGTTGGTATGTTAATGATGATAGAAGTATTTATTTAAATATAAGATAATTTATTTTCCTTAAGAGTAATTGCTCAATGAAAGATCATAACAACACAATAAAGAACAAAAAAACCAGTGTACAAATATTTATTGAGGAGAATCTAGATATGTTGAAGTAACTATAACTAATTGTTACAGTTTGTGACTCACACAAGTTTTTCAAATTTTCATTCAACTTGAGGATTATACCTTCAACTTGAAAAGTTTAATTAAGAGAAAATACTCCATAATGAGATTATAAAGTAGAAACAATATGTAAACAGCATGAAAACAATAAGTTATCAAATAGGTCAAAAACATCAAATTATTACAATTACTTTTCGAGATCTTTTTATTAAAAGACTATTTTTATCTAGAAATCTTGATTAGAATTAAAATTAATTTGAATTTTTGAGTTGGAGTAGTTCATAAATGGAATGAAAAGGAATAGCAGGTAGTGTTTGGTCTCTTTCTACAACTTCTAAAATATCTTTCTTTTCGTAACATTTTGTACTTCAACTCTCAGATATATTTTATTGTAAGAAGACAAAACATTAATAAGTCACGTATCGTATATGTAAGTTAATATACAACAATACAAATTGAGCCATGCAGTCAAGATTCAATTCTGATAGAAAATTTCACCTGAAAATCAAGGAATCTATTTTCTTGAATTTAACTGATGTTTGATTATTCTATGATTCAAGCATACATAAATCTTCGAACCCCGTGTAAATTGAACTCGTACAAATAGAAAAAAAGAAAAAGACTATTGTGTAAGTACTATCTCTCAGAAATGTTAATTCAGTTTATTCAATTGTAGAAAGATAAATAGTAAAATCCCACGCGTTTCTATGAAATTGAGAAATCTTCTCTCCATCTCTATGTGGATGAAGATGACGATTAATCATTAAATTACAGAGAGAAAAAAAGAAGAAGAAAAGTGGATGAGATGAAAGAAGAAAAAAAAACAATTCTAAAATGTTTCAATTACAGAATGAACATTGTCAAAACTATTCTATTAATTTTCTTGTATTTTTCGTTCATTTGTGTAGAAAAATCATCAATAAACAAAAAACTGATTTACTATAAATATTTTCCAAAAGAAAGAAGAAATATAGAAAAGAAATATATATTTTTTATTGTACGTTGTTGTAATGGAAAGAGGAAATTTTTTTAGTATTTGTTTGTAAATTAGCAACTTTATTGAGCATGCTATTAAAGAATTATTTAGCTATTTAATTCTATTTCTTTAAACTGAGTAAGTTTATTTTATTTGTTGTTTTATTAATGTGCGATCAAAAACTATTATAAACCATTAGATTAAATGTTACAATATCACTTAAATACGCCAACGTGTTTCACATACTAATGGAGATCCACGACCAATTTTTCTTATCCTACGCATTTACAACTATGATACTTCAATAGTAAAGTGACTTCCTGATCATTCAGAAACATGGAGCAAGTCTCATTAGGACTTTTATTCATTAGTTAATCACATTTTTTTTTTTTATTTATAAAAGTATGGGTAAGAATAAAGTTATAGTCTTCTGTGCTTTTGACATGAATAATAAAATTGATGATTCAAAATACAAAATCTAGAGTGAGTCAAATATGATCGAATGAACAATAAAAGTCATCATAGAAATTATAACTGAATAATCAAATGTTCATTTGTCATTTTTGATTTCCTTTCTTTACTACTAAATAGTCATCTGAGTACAGTTTTGATGTTTTTACAAATCGAAAGGCGAAAATAGACAATTCTCTACATTAAATTGAAAATTAAAAGTTGTTTTTAAAAGCACTTAATAATAGAGAATGATGTGTTTACAGTATTTCTGCAAAATCAATTATCATTCCTTTAATCATTTCTTTATTCATCTCCTACTATCTTTTTACATATTTAAGCTGTTGCGCGTTCCACTCTTTTAATAGTATGGATCGACTTTCTACTCATAACAGATTTCAAAAAAACAAAAAAAAACAACTTGTCAGCGTTGGTTCTACGAAGCAAAAATATAAAAACTTCCTATTGAACTGTTGGACTATAATATAGTACATGTATAAATAGAAGGAAGTTAAATAAGAATAGTAGCGTGTGAGAGAAACTTTTATTTAATAGCTTTTTTTTTCTGATCATATGGAGAGATATGGTAATACTTTTTAAAACTTGTCTCTAACAACATTAGATCAATAATGCACTGTCTGTTACTAGTCCATTCAGCAGCTGTAAACACCAAATGTATATTGAAATTTATTATATCACAGTTTTACCCCAAAAGTTTACAGCTATTGAAAATTGTGGTTACAGCTACTGACACGCCCCCACCCCTCTCCCTGGAAACCACAAAAATCTTCTTATATAAACTTTATACTTCAAACTTTCTTTTCCTTCGGAAAACGGACAAGTTCTAGGAAGTTTTCACAATATGATTTCAAAGATTTCAAAAAAACAACAAAAATATGAAGGAAACACAATTTGTGTTAGTTGAAACTTCGCTTAGAAACCTTAGGCAAGAAAAAATCAGTCTTATGGGTATTATTCATAAATTAACAGTATAACTTAACGTTAGCCTAACAAGAATAACTGACATCTTCTCTAGAAGGAGAAAACAGCAAGATGCATCAGATTTTTTTTCAAAATATATTCAAATTAAAAATATTTTAATCGTTTTATAATAAGAATTGGATGCGGTGCAGTAAATTACCGTATACTAAATGCGTTTTTCTTTTCTCTATGTTTTCACTATTATACACGCTGTTTTTTAATTGTCTCGAAATTTTTATGATTCATTCTGTCATTCCATAACTGATCAACTTATACAGGACCGGCGGTAAGACGATCTTTTGTTATTATTTTTAGATAATATTTTATTTTTCCAGTATAAGTCACAACCATATAAAAATAAGTCTATTGTCTTCTCAATTCAACTTATGATGCCTGACTTTTTATTTTTTTATTCATGCATTAAAATAATTGCAAAAGATATAAATGACGAAGCACGAACAATTTTTAACAGTTTAAAAGCTTTTCGTAGTATTTTTCAACTTGTACTGCTGATGCGACCATGCAGCAGCATGATTTACATTCTTTTCTAATTATGGTTACAGTAAATTTTTTTAATGTGACTTAGATAATGAACTAATATAGAATAATAGAAAAATAAAAAGAAAGAAAATATTACTGAGAGTTAACAATATAAGTATCATTAATCATTTTTCTGTGTGGTATGAAAAATAAAGTGTCAAAAACGTTAAGAAAAATAAACAGAAAACATTTTAAATCAAAGAAAATTGATATTGAAAAGATGCTTAGAGTAGGAGAAACAATAATTTTAAGCACTAATTTATTTTATGTGTTTTTGTTAAATCAAATGAATAATTTCTGTAATTAATGAACTAATTGTACTAGAACAATGTTTTTTCTTATTCACATACATGCTCTATTAATCAGGACAAATTTAAAACATGAAAAACGTAGAGATATAGAGTATATGTGCATTTGTATGTGTTATACAAAATGAACAGTGTCTTGTTTTATTAACATTATTTTATTTCTATTCGATTTTAGACGAACGAACAATGCTATCTTCCACATTATCTATTTCAATAATTATCCATTGTACATTTTTGTTACTGTTAACAATAACAACAATAGATGCCTATGATCAACAGTATTTAACAAGTAAAGACAGATCAACATCATCACTAGACAATACTCGTTCGTTAAAACATTTATTAAAACGATCATTTTCGCATCATCTATTGACTCATATACCAGACTACTATTATTCTCATGAAAATGAGAATATTCAATATAGTCGAAAACGTCGTGGTACGGGATACTTTGTCATTCGAAATGGAGATTATTTATATTTTATACCAGATTCAAAACATCCGTTTACGAAAAATATGCGCCCATATATTGGAAGAAGAAAAAGATAAGAAAGTAACGTAACCATTTACAAGGAAGAATGTTTTTTTTGTGCAATGGAGCTTAATAATTATCTCTTAATAAAATGTTGCACCTTAATTATCCTACCATTTAATCATTACTCTTTTTCTCTTTATTTTTTTGATTCAAAGATCTTTATTCACATTTGTAGAATAAAACGTAGTGTTTGCACTGCATATTTTATATGGAACAGTAATTATCCTAATTACAGCTAAATTTGCGAATATAATTATCATGATTCTTTGACCATCAAAAACAGAAAAGTCAGATTAGTTTTAGTAATAGCACAAATCATAACATACAGTTAGAAAGAAAAATACATTCTACTTTTATCTGAATAAAATAACCAATTTTCTGAAACGACAAGTAAAAGTTTAACAATCGAAGATGTGCGAGACTAAAATGGAGTTTTAACTAGCACACTCGTGGTTTTCTCAATAGAGGATGTAACATCATCAAATAGGACTGGCATACAAAGTTTTATGAAATAGACGAAGGGTTTATCGGCTTCAAAATATGTTTATTTTCTTCGCACAACTATGCAGAATTTTTAGAAAATACAAACAAACACGAACCTATATAATACTGTTGAATTAAATCCGGATGATGTTCTAAATTTGATAATTGAATTGATAAACATTGACTTATAACTGATTGATCAATCCATGTTTCAACCGATAATCGAATATTATCTTTGTTATAAACATCTTGTAATAATTTAATATACTTTTCAGAATGTGAATTTAGTTTAAGAATAAATTGCCATAATGTTTCATATAATCCATTCTAAATATAGTAAACAAGACATTTAATAATATAATACTGTGCGTATGTCGAAGATCACATTATGGAAACGAAACAAAAGGTAGATAAGTTAACAGTGCTTACAGTAAATGATCAGAGAATGGTTGACACTATTTCTGATACCTAAAACTATGATATTTTTCTTTTGACCTCATAAAACCCAAGTTTTGTCTAGTGTGATGTGACGTTATGCCATCAAACTAAGTGCACAAGGAATACAAATGAAACTTGCAACATAGTCGAGTTTTCCTTGATCAGTTTTCAAATTATAATTGAATAAAGAGAATATACACTAGAATCTCTCCAAGTACCTTTTGTAATATTACACCATGACTGATAACTGGCAGAATAGCTGTTCGTAATCTTTCAATAGCACCATATTTATTTGATATTGAATCACCGCGAAAACGTATTAATGATTCTACAGTGGATTTGACAGCGTAAAGTAAACTACTCAGTTGCGAAGAACTAAACGGTATAAAAAGTTAAAATAACGCCTTGCTATTTATCTGTCAACAAAGAACGATCAAGACAATTTTTCACTCTTCTGTCTAATACAGACAAAGAAGCAGCAAATTCGTTGGTCGTGCTTGAAACTTACGCTTGTTTTGTATTCATCTGTATCGTGCCTTTGGACGAAAAAAACTATGAAAATCCTTGATCATTATCTGAAATTAACATAGATAAATAATATCCCCATTCAGTGGAACAGTACATCCCACAACATGTTGTAGATAATTTTCAAATATTGCAGTATTTAATGTCCTATATCTCTTTAATTTGATTAAGAATGCGAAATGATATCACAAGAATAAGTAAAATATATAAATAACAAAGTCAACAAAGCTTTTATCATCAATTAAAACATTAAAAATGAATCAAACAGTCAATAGTATAAATATGAAAAATAAAATTTAATGTATACTCGGTGCTTCATTAACATTACTGGTATGATTCGTACTCTTATCTTTATTTTCTGCTTTTGGAATTACGCCTTTTTTCAAAATAATGTTGGCATAAATGGCACCTTCACCAGTACCTTCAAAATAGAACAGAAGAAAGTGATAATCAAAAACAAATAAGCTTTAGCTTTAATAACTTACGAACAATCGCAAATGCTTTTTTGGCTCGATCATAAAATTCAAATCTATCCATCATTTCAAATTGAACTGTATGTTTTTCACTCTCATTAACGATGGTTTGATATTCTTGCCAAATTGGAACTTCTAAACGCTTATTTTTATCGTCCTGAACTAAATCCATTAGAGCAACTGGTTGTTTGACGTACGCGTCCAAAGGAAATAAACGTAAGACATGTTTTAATAATTTGGGAATATTAACTCCATCGCAACATATTAATTCGGCTCCATTTGCTCGAGCAATTGACTCGCTTGGAAAATTTGCGTCCGCTAATACAATCTCGTCCCCATGCCCCATCCTGGCTAAAGCATACAGTAATTGCGGTGAGATCAAATGAGGAATGTTTTTCAACGGCATCGTTTATCTGAAACGAAGTAGCAAATTATATTTTGTTATCTGTCAATGAGACGGTGTTCCGCCACTGAAAGGAAAAATCAGTGTTTTTAAAAATGAGAATATCAACCAAAGTGAATTTTCACAGCATATCACCACATTCTCATATTTTTTCTACTAAAAATGGAGTGAAAATCAAATTTTCAAAGTTGAATCCATTTTCTTCTTCTCGCTCGACCCATATATCATTAAAAACACTGAGCCAAATGCTTTGTGTACACATATGTACGAAAATTTGAAATTATTCACGATAACTTCCTACTTGTATCAACTAAACGTCAAAGCAGGCTGAATCTAAACCACTTTTCAGAGTTCAACTAGATAATCAGTAACGAGACCTGTACAATAAAAAGAAGGTAGATTTAAAATATATTGACGAAAATAAAAACCAACACACCAATGATAACATATGTAGCACAATCAAAAACGTCATCGTATCATGCCAGAATGTTGTTAATCTTCAATGCTTATGTACTACCATATTTCCAGCAGCTCTATTCCATTTATCCACTGTTACCTGATTCCACAAAAGACAAAATAGAAGCTATAAATAGACAAGTATACAGGGTAATAAACCGATGGTACGATGTCACGAATGATGAAATCAAATTCGCGCACAAGTTCTAAACAATTACTGACCGTGCAAAAAAATCTTTACGCAACTTCATAAACAAAGCACACACAGGTATTTGAGAACTATTTGAAAAATATACACAATCGAGATCAATACAAATGTATTTACAAATGCACAATCAATCTCCATTTATTAAGCATTTGAACGTAGAAAGACAAAGTGCAACTGTGAAAAGATGGTTAGATCAAGAGGACAGATATCTTGATAAACTAATGTCATTTATTCAAGATTAAACTTTCCCTCGCTTCTTATGCTCTACAAATTTCTGTTCTTTTTCGTAAAACAGGTAGTCGAGGTTATCAGCCTGATACACTACAGTTAACAAATTGTCGACATTTTCTAATCTGTCTAACAAACCAATACAACAACAACAACAAAAAGGTAGAATCAGTAATAGTCCTATCGACATTTTAGTCGTACTTATACACTTTGTCTTGCAAAACCGATAACCCTTTCTCTAATCAGATTTCGAGGGGATGAATGTTGTTGTTTACATCGTATGACTCGGTATATCTGTCAGCCATCAGCAGATGTTTTGACAATCCATAAGTCAACAATTAAAAGTTATCCAATTGTAATGCGTTTCTCTACCATTCAAGTTATAAAGGCGACAGAACTACGAGTTCAATATGGCTACTGTCTACTTCTCTTGTCGCTTCTTTCACATTTTATGTTTTTATTCTGTGTTACCGTACTTTTGTGTACAGTATACGTTTCGAAACAAAACTAAAGTATTTTTTTTTCGAACTGTAAGATTTAGAACGGACTGACAGTCATTTTCTTCAATTTGCAGCTAGCAGCATTAAACTGTTTGTTAGCTCTTTTTGACTTGAACTCGACATTATTCCTGATGGTTTCATCTTCGTTTTTATTGTAAAGATTTTTCTGACTTATCAACTTGCGCTTTAAGAGGTTCTGTCAGAGAAAGTTTGTAAATGTTTCCCACTAATTAAAGCATACTATTTTTCTTGCATAGTTTATTAGTTCTGGAAGGGAAAGTTCCTGAATCGATGGCGTCTTCAGACAAGAGTTAAAGTTGAATTGTTACTGGAAAAAAGTGTTACACTAGACTAGGAAAAGAGCCCGAAACGAATCAGGATTTCTTGATTCGGGACAACATTTTCAAATCCTGAATCGGTTCGATTCGGGCTAGTTCAATGAAAAATAAAATTTCTCTTTTATTTCCACACGTTTATTTAAAATACACTATCTCGAGCAGAGTTGCTAGATGCTTACGTCAGAAAAGCGGAAGAAAAAGTCAAAAAAGCGAAAATTAAAAGCCAAAATGCGGAAAAAAAGCGAAAACGCATTTTTCATCGTATTAGTTCATTTTTCACCAAATGCAAACAAAAGCGTATCAAAAAAGTTTTTTCTAGCGCTTTATGGTGGTTCCACTTAAGAAACATAACAGAAGTACGAAACATCATTTAACTCCCAATTTGAATCGATATTGGATTTTTGTGGATGCGCGTTTTTGATCAGCCGTCATAAATTTTAAGAGTTATGTATGAGAGGATAAAATTTAATTCGAAACTTTTCCATCTACGACTGTACTTAATGGTTAAGATTTTCTGACCAAGTTGGCTTCCTTGAAGATTTAGTATTTCACTATTTTTCACACTCCCTTTCAGCAGCACTTGAGACAAGCTAATGTTTTTGTGCTAATGTTTTGTTACCGCTCACTTTCGGGGCAAATTTCTGACTTAGTTCTCAAAACAGTGTACATCTGTTTTATAAAAGTTGCAGAAGTATTGTTTTGACAGGTCACTTTATTTTGACAGGTTTTTTATGAGAAAATGTAATAATTTTCATTGCAGGAAAAAGGACAAAAACCAAAAATCCTGGAAAAGCAGACACTTTGCGGAAAAAACTTTGAAAGCGGAATTTATTCGCAAACTGCGGACCATCTGGCAACTCTGGTCTCGAGGTGAAACACTTGAGCAGAACATATTATTTATGTGTCTGAACCTTTGAAAGATGAAATAAAATTCTCGTTCAACCGCAGCTGAGCTACAAGGATTGAAAAAATTGATTGAAAAAATCTTAACATTAATGATCAAAAAATAAGCAAATGTCGGTTGTGTGCGACATCCATTCTGATGCTCTCAAAAATTCTATCTTTGAAAATGAATTTGTTTAGATATCTTAATAACTCGGTAAAAGATATTATGTGTTCCTCTTTCTAACGCGATTGTATGTTTGTGAGCAGTATAAAAGAACAAAAGGACAAAATTTTATTACATAGTGCTTTTATTACTTTATACGATGTCATTGTAGCTTAGCTTGACTAAAGTGTATCAGCTGAGCGGCTGATTCGTCTTTCAAAAATCAAATTCGGTTCGGTTCGGTAAGCAGCCGACCCGAACCGAATGTCGAATGATTCGATTCGTTTCGGGCTCTGAAGTACATAAATTACTCTCAAAGATACAGAGTTATACATTTTGAGTACAAAAGTTGGTTGTAAAAACAAATAAGAGTGGAAAGATAGCTCATGTAAATGCGTTATGATCACGCGCATTAAAACCGGTCGATAGTAAGCTTTACTTTTCCTCCACCAATAGTTTTCACATTTTTATTTAGTTTTTATGAACATTACTGGTTTTTTTGTGATCATGTAAGTGAATTTGAACCAATATTAACAAAAGAATATGGTTCCGAATTATCGCTACCAACGTATTATGGCATCTTACTGAGTCCAACCCAATTTATGTAGCTTATAACACGATCGTCTAGCATGGTCATACATTGAAGAATGTTGAAAAGAAAATTCATCGGGGATGAATACTTCTAGTTATAATTTTCAGCGGGAAACTTACGAGGATCTATGATCGTCATCGTCAAAACACAAATCAGAAAGCAGGATACACAATATTAAAAAAAGACAATATTAAATCAAATGAAATTACACAAAATTTATCAGCAAAAATGGTAGGAGCTTTATCATTTTTAGTTTCAGTACTGTATAT